CCAACAATGGAATATCATACTTCATGGTAGCCATTGATAACAAAAAACCTCAAACAATTAAATCCTTACTCTGCGGAACAGCTGAACCTTGACTCTGATACAACTTGTTAGGAATTCGAAGAAGTGATATGGAGCGATATGAAGTATAGATCGCACAAACTAGTAAATAAGAACGATATTTAAAAGAAAGCAAATAAGAAATTGGCAGAAAATCCAAATATTTTACTAATGACAACCAATGGAGAGAAAATACAACTTTCAACAATTTCTGTAATCTACTAAATTGAATGAAAAATCTACTATTTATAGGGCCTAAAAATATCACAAAAATTGAAACAAGATAAAAAAAAACACGTGAAATAATTGAAATAATTTTTTTTCAATAAAACTTGTGAAAAAAGGAAATAATATTTTTCCAATAAAACACGTGAAATAAATGAAATATTTTCTCATAATATTTCACCTAATTTGGATCACAAAATCCAACAAAATCAATTTATAAGAATTGGCCTCTTTCTAAGAAAGACGATATAATTAGTAATTATTGAGCTAGATAGAATCCCGCTAAGGGAATGTAATGATATAAGCTTTGAAAAATTGGGATGAAAATAATTCAATTGGAAATTAGAAATGTTCCAAAGAGAGATAATTGTGGTGGATAAGGAAATGATTCAAACGATATTATGATAATCCGCCTATTTTTGACAGTGTGGACAATGAAGATGTAACATAATTATAGTTTTTAGATTTGACTTCTGAACGATGATTGTTATGATAGCTTGCAATTTTTTTATGAAGATGTTAGTGCTAATGTATTCGAGATAACTAATTTTCCTATTGTACTCACTTGAACAAATAAATTTTACGGTTGTTCTACACATATATAATAGTTTACATAAAAAAATGTTACTTGTAGATAATTGTTTATATACAAATGAAGTGTCAAAAGAGAGCATAATTTTATTTTTTATTTGGTTGAAAAAATTCCGACTCAATCTTCCGTGTATGTGAATCATTATGTAAATGATCTTACTACACGTATATTAAGATTTACATAAGAGATTACATAATACAATATGATATTCTATTATCCATTGATTTAAAACACAGTCAACTTTTTCATAAACTATTTTCTCCCCACATCATTTTATGTAGTCATTTATGTACAATTTTTATATACAAGTAGCACAATCTTAACAATAATGCTATTCATAGTCGCTCATTATTGGTAGTCGTCCTATGTGATAATTTGTTATTCGATGCATTAATTTTCTATAATTTTATTGTTTCAAATAACAAACTATCACATATATGATATGGCGACTACCGAAAATGAGTGACTTTGAATAATATTACTCTAATCTTAATTGCCAAACCATTAAACTTGGCATATATAGCCGCAGGGCTGGCCCTGAGAATTAAGAGGCCCTAGGCGACTAATTATTACGAGGCCCTTCAACATAATCATTTTTCACAAGTGTAGCAAAATAAAAATATATAAATAATTAACAACTTTATATTAAAAAAAGACTTTATATAATTCAAAAGATAGAGTAGCAAACTACTTTTTTTCTCACAACCCGAGATATTAGTTATAGAAGATAAGAACTTCCTGCAATCTGTAATTATAATCGACTAAATAAATATGCAAGAAATATAATATTACAAAATAAGATTCTTCATTCTTTCCCATGAATATGAAGCTCACATTCAGAAAGAAAAGAGAACCAATCTGCATATCCAATATCCTCTTTCACGGAGGAAATGGTCAATTTGGCTTAGACAGAACTTAACCCACTGAAGTCATCCAATCAAAAGTGTGGGACGGATTAGTGAATACCTTAGTTGAAGGCTTGAAGCTTTTCGAAAAAGTGGAACCAACACAAACTAATTGAGGGAATTCAAATACAAACTGAAAACATATTTAATCGCCTTCTCTGCAATCGTCTTCTCTAAATAAAGAATACAATCGCCTTCTCTGCAATCGACTTCTTTGATGTGGTTTTGTACAAACATCTGGAAGTTTTTCTTCTCCAATCGCAGTCCGTCTTTTCCTTTTCCTTTTTGTACAAAAATCTGGAAGTTTTTCATTCATTGATTGGAGTCTCGAGGAGGAAGACTCTTCGTTTTCCTGAGTTTCCTCTCGTTAAGAAGAACATATTTTTTTTTTCTAATGGTCTGTAATGGACTAGGGTGGCCTCTTTTTTGTGGCCCCTTAAATTCTGATGCCCAAGGCAGTTGCCTTGTTTGCCTTGGGCTAGGGCCGGCCCTGTATAGCCATTGTTCGGGTTTTATTTTCCTAAAACTGGTTCTTCTTAAAACTTATTTTTAGCCATATATTTATAGGAGTCAATTTTTTTTTCAACTTTTAAGTATATATTTTATTAATTTTTATTAAAATCTACTACAAAAAATTATTTATAGCAAAATCAAATAGGGGCATAACATCATGCTAAATTATTGTTTGCTATAAATATACTTGACATCATATAATTTCATATCATGTTTATATTCAGAAAATATTAGTGTTACTTTTAGTTTTAATCATACATTTACAATTATTATTGACACATTTTGTGAATCAATAAAGATATCATAATGAAGCCAAACACAAACCATTTTTCTATGGATATAAAAACTTTAGCTTTAAAAAAAATATTTTTTATTATAAAATTATAAGAGAAATATAAGCTCCTGTTCGTCTACCATTTTTCAAAAAATTATTTTCTACAGTAATTAATCTCTACCACATATTCAGATAATAAAATATTCTACATATAAATCGATAAAATTTCTTTCAATTTCAACCACACATTTTCCAAAAAATACTATTCATTACACAATTTTCTTCTCAATAATGGTTGACAAACAGGCACTAAGTATGGTAACAAAATTAATTTTTTAAAAAAAATAAATTTCTTCAGTTAAAAAATATACTATAATAACTATGATAATGAAAATTAAAGGTTGATTTTAAAAAGTAAATTATAAGTTGCTTTTTAAATTTCCAAACATAAGATGTATATACTTGGAGAAATTCTAGGAAATTAACGACATTCCATCGCAGATTTCATTGGATGGGGAGAGACTTGAGGCATCAAATTCAATATAAACCGTAGGCCTTTGCAGCCACCCTCACTACCATCCATTCTTCCACGTAAACCACCTGTCTCCTTTAGACTAAACAAACCAACTAATGCACATCTTCCTTCTACAGTGACAATGACCGTTTTAACCCTCCTATGACTATTTTGACATTATGACCAGGAAAACCTACAATATTGGTCCTCTTAGTTCAAGTAGTAGATTTGTTGATCAGCACGAAGAATATACGGCCCTGCGAGAGTGTATCACTTTGGGAAGTGCTATTTTTACCCAAGGTTTTGCTACTTAAAGTCTTTTAATTGAAATACACGAATTTGTAACTCCGACCTTTAATAATGCAAAATAGCCAATTCTTTAATAATTCATCAAATAAGCCAATATGCCCCTCTTTAGGGGATTTGACTCTAATTTATTTTATTTTTTATAGTCATTTTCAACCACACATTCACATAATAAGCCTCTATTTGGTGTACATTTTTGTTCTAAGAATATTATCAACATATTATCCAAAAAAGAAAAAAATACTACTTTTTAACCACATATTACTTTAATCTTACTACCTTTTAACCACATATTATCCAAAAAATATTATTCAAAACATAACGTTTTTAAGTTTAAAGGCCACCTTTAAAATTCTAGACACCAACCTCACTCGAGAACAATATACATTAAAATAAAAGGGTTGTGTTATATGTACATAACAATTTATATAATGATTTACCAATAAATGATGTGGTGAGATTTAATTGGATCAAAATCTCATCAAGCAAACAACTTCCCTACTTACGTTTTGACGTATCATCAATATGTAAAATATTATGTAAATAATTATGTAAAATAAGTATTTTCTAAAATAAAATGAGTGAACACAACTTTCAATTATAGTTGTTCGATCCCTAAAGTTGAAAAACATACAAATCTCTATCAAATCATCGTTGTAACCCTGGTAGAAATGCGGCCACTTTAAAATTTTAAACATCGACTCAAAATTTGAAAATGGAATCCTGTTTGAACCCCATTTTTGTTGAAAAATGCAATTTGAAATAGTAGATAGAAGTAGGATGTGTGGCTAAAAATTAAGGAAATTTTTTGAATTTCCATGTAATATTATTTTATCAAATAATGTATGATTGAAAAAGAGAGAAAAATATATTTTGAAAATAATGGAAATCAAACAAGGGCCTCGATTCATAAAATTTATTACGATATGATTAATTGAGATTTGAATAGCTTATATAGTTGAGTACTGACTATGCAAATATAATGAAAGATTGAAGACTAACTACTCAGACCATATATTACTACAGTTGTGCTATATGTACATGTACATTACAACTTACAATTTCTTTTATCAACGGATAATGTGACGAGATTTGATTAGTTCAAAATCTCGTCAACCGAATAAATAAATAAATAAATAAAACTTTCGCACTTTCTTTTTAACATCTTATCAATTCGTGAAAGATATTTTTCCTACAATTTTGCTACAAGTACAAAAAAATTTGACAGAGTTCTTACATAAAGACACTATGCAATTTTCATTGATTTTTGACACAACAAATACAAAAAATGCACCATACAGATGCTGCCAACGCATCACTTATATCATTTTTGTCAATAATTGTTTGTACCTATGGAATTATTCTTTTTCGTATCACTATTCGTTTGAAGTTAAATGGGTATTAAAGTAATATTTAGGTGATGAATGATCTACGAGGAATTCAACCAGAGAGTAAATTCCGGTCTCCATCTATAAATAGTGCCGAGAAACCTACCTTTCCTAACCCTTTTTTCCGCCATCTCTGCCCTGCAATTTGCAGGGAGGGTCCTAAGCTAGAACACGCACGGACTCTCTCAGAGAGAGCTAAAAGGGCACCATATCTATCTGCCTCGCTATGTCGAAAGATGAATCAATCAATGGAATCATCAACAATGTAGACTTCTCCGTCGTCGTAGAAAGCGGCATCGCCAATGATGTCAATAACAAGCCACGGCAGCCGATGGTGAATGAAGGGAAAAAGAAGAAGCGTGGCGCTTTCAGCCTCCTCAAATCAGCAATTTTCATGCTTCGCAAAAGCCAGAACAAGAGACCTGCTAAATCGGATAAATCAAAAGTGGATTCTTCAAACGGAAATTGGCAGAAGATTGTAGGATCAATCCGACCTTTGCATCTTCAAGATGACAATTCACCACCACCTTCAAATCCATCCCTTTCCACCTCGACAAGCGTGGAGAACTTTAACGACCTACTCCGGCCGGCCTCCCCATACTCCTCCGTGGCCTCCTCATCCGCCTCCCCCATCACCGGTGGTGCTATGAGCCAATACGCTTCAGCAAACAACCTTCAAGAACTCGATGAAGAAGACGGCTATGATTCTGACAAAGTTTTTGACTCCCTTGCTGGAGACGAGATGATAGATGCCAAGGCGGAGGAATTTATTAACCGATTCTACCAGCAAATGCGGCGTCAAAATTTGGAAAACTGAATCACATGCCGCCGCCATCAAAGTTGAAAACAAGTGAAGGAATTCAGTTAACCTAATATTAATCTCCATGCATGTATACACAACTCCACCCTTGCATGCAAGCACGTAGTATATTTAATGGCTCTTTACTATTTTCCTCTACTTTTTATTTCATTTTTTATGGTTCCATTGCTTTATGATAATGATCATCAGATCATCTGTGCATTTAGTTTAGTTTCAAGGAGGAGATTCTATAAAATCAAAGGCAGAAAATTGGGTTTGATTAGACATTTTTATTTTGGAATAAATATGTTTATCTACATTCATATCATCAATTAAAGGTTTTTGTAATTTTTGGATCCAGTTTTGATTAACAAAGATAACTTTTGATCAAACCAAATCTAGAGTTTTAATTTTTTTGCTCCATAGATGATGGCTTGATTTCTTTGCCATAATACTTTTGCTCCAAAAGAAGGAAAAAAAAGGGACAAAGATAATTGAAGAAATCAAGGGAAAAAGTTAAAATTTTGAAGCTTCTGCTTTGAGACAACAAGGTTTCCAATCCCAAAAGCATGTTCCATAATGCTCTCAAGAAAAATATTGGATTGGGTTTCCAAACGACGAGTTAGCAAACAAATCTAACCTCTTTTTCGCAATTCAATCTTTTGATTTATCAGTTATAGACGAGTCCAAGTACGAGATGGCCAATCAGGAGTACCAAAGTTGGTAAATTGCCACGCCATAAAAGTTGGCTAGCCCATGGTTCGGACCAATTTTGAAACCACTAAAATTTAATCAATCATCGTCTACAACCCCAAAATTCAAGAAATAGTGAAGAAAAAAAGAGAGAGAGAGAGAGAGAACTTTAAACCAGCAAACACCAAATATATGGAGAATTAAAACACATTAATTAATTTTTATCTATTTTTTGAATTTATGATGAACAAATCCTTAAATATGTCCTAAAAAATACCAAGTCAAAATCCTGTCTGAAATTCATACATCTGAACCAAATGAGGAAGAAAAAAATTGTATCGACCTAGTAGCCATGGATGAGTTCAGAGCACTTGTTCTTGACCCAACGAAATCCATTTCTGATTGAAGCTTTGACTCTACATTCAACAGTGTACACTTGCAATTCTCTTCCCTATCTTCATTTCGGGATCATTGAATCCCCATGGCTTCGCTGCCAGCTGACTCGGCCGATTGACAGTCAGAACCGGTGGCGAATCAGGTCCCCCTCGATGCCATATCACTACAACAAAAATTGCCTTTTGCAACGGTCGAAAAACGTTGTTATAGAGCTTTTGCAGCGTTCGGGTGTATGTTGTGGGCTTTGATGTTGCCGTAGAGTAAAAGTTTTTTGCAACGGTCTTTAACCGTTGCCTTTTCATTTTTAGCAACGTTCAATGAGTATTGCCTTTAATTTTTTAGCAACGTTCATTAACTGTTGCCTTTAACCTTTTAGCAACGTTCATAGACTGTTGTCTTTTCCTTTTTCGCAACGTTCATCGACTGTTGCCTTTAACTATTTAGCAACGATTTTTGAACGTTGTCTTTACTTTTGTGTTCACTTGGACAACACTTTTAGCCTGTTGTCGTTTCTTTTCTTGTTAAATCTTTGCAACGTTCCATGATTATTGTCCCCCCTTTTTTTTCTATTTTTATAGACCAACAAAATTAAAAACAAACATCATCTAAGCACAAGTATTTTAAGACGATATGAAATGAAAATTATAACTTCATTACGAAATTGTCTTAAAGTACACAAAATAAACATAGAACTCATGTACAATTGCTTCTTCCAAATACAATAAACACTCTCAATACCAAAACGAGGGCCAAAAAACCAGCCAAAGTAAATATGTCAAGAACATACACAATGGCCAGAGAAAGCTAATGCCAAAGTAATCTGCACAAGAGAACTCAATTACAGATTCTTCTCTTAACTTCGTTTGACTCCATATAATTGCAATAAGGAAAGAATATAGAGGTTAGGTACATTAATTAATAGTATAGGAAACTCCAAGGAAAATTAATAGTATAGACCTACTGATGAATTTCAAAACACTAACTAATTAAATCCAGAACTTGTAGTGATGCAATTACACAAAATGTCACAATGTACACCAATCACCACAGCACAAAAGTCAACGAGGTGCAAAATTCAAACACAAGAATTTGCAGGAATTTGCAGATGGGTGACGTTGCCTTTAAGTGACTTTGTTTCCCTGGGAAGGTGGTGATGAGAGTTTGGACCTTGGACGTGAACGCTACTTGTCTCATGCATTATAATACATCATTTTCATGAAAGAAAATAAGTTAAAATGGTGCTAGCAGCATGTTTGGCTAAACTTACAAGTAAATAAGTTCTTTCAATTTACAAGAAAAATCTCATCTGCTTAGCAATTAAACCTACTTGTTCCAACAACATATCTTCATTTCTATATTTGAAGAAGAGTTTGACATGTTTCCAAGTTACTTATGGAGCCGCTGGCAGTCATCAGGGAAGAAAATTTTGGCAGCGTTGTCCTAATTTTTCATTTATTAAGATTCGTCATCCCAACTGACATATTCCATCTAGAATTTATGTTAAGCAACACTTAACTGAAGTTTATAAAATCTGTCAATTGCATTTAGACGGAATCTATGTGAGAATGATTGCCAATAAAAGAAAGACTGGGAATAAGATTATCAAGAAATGAAGGTTGGAGACATAAGTAAAAAAGATTGGAAAATTTGAGAAAAACGTCTGCTATTTTCCCAGATAATATTGACCACACAAGTCTTTCTTATAGCTATTTTATGTCCTTAGTTATCGACTGGTCAAGATGCAAGCCTTTCCAAGTGTGAAATGGAGAAAACTCTTTGAGTGAAAATGAAGTGAAAAACAAACCATATTTTTGAAATGAAGTGAAAAACAAACCATATTCTAGTTTGTGAAAAGACAATGCACAGATTAAGTTTTTAAACTCCAAATATGATTCCCAGGAAACAACATCAAAAGAAACATCTAATCACACATATTCACTTCACGAATGCATTAAACATAAAGAAAACACGAATATGAAAACACATAAATGAAGAAATCTAGTAAATACCTTCGTCAAATGAGTCCAATACTACTCTTTGGCCAAACAACAGTACTTCCCATGGCTTCAATAAGAACTTGAAATTCATCATAAGGTCCATATAAGGTCAAATGACCCATATACACTTCCTCAACCCAGACATTCCAACAATCTTGTCCAAGTGGCATGTGGTGCACCTTTGTGCTTGGGTCTATTGATGCAATCTTCCCTTCTGCTACAACTTCTTCCTCATCATACCGGTACCAATGCAATAGTTGACACCTTAAATTTTCCAAATGTGCAACACCTCCCTGGATACCACTTCTGTGTTGGGACTACAAATTCACAGTAATATGAAATATTCCATTTAAAATTAGTATACTATATTCTGGATTTATATTCAACAAACAATAAATAATATAAGATACATAACCGGGGGAGTATACGTACGTGAACTCATGTAATCTACATTCTTGTTTTGATTATGTAAAATAATACAAAAATTAAAAAGTTATTCTATATACTAAGTTATGTAACGCTATGTTATCATATTATATATAGTGATAAAAATATATAACCTGAGATAACTTGAGAAGTGCTTCAACTTTTTCTTCTAGTGCTCCCATCCTTTCTGACTGTGTTTGTAATTGGCTTTCAAGTTCTCTCACTCGGGAATTAGTTTGAATTTGTCCATCCATTTTTGAAGGTGTAACTCCAAATCTAAGTCCCCTTACTCTTTCACGACGTTCAGGACCTAGAACTCGAGTAACAACATCATCTCGAATGGAATCTTAGGCTGGTGTATCAAAAATTGATTGGGCACAATCTTCTATCTTTTTCTGCACTTACGTGAATTTTTTTTTTATGCTATCAAGTGATACATATAATAAGTTACACTATTATTGAAAGAATGTTGCTATAATACACGTACCAAAGTTTCGGCAACTGATTCATTTATTGGTTTTTCATCCCTTCTAAGATGTCCACGAGTCTATACTCTAGTTCTTAACCCTTTTATTCCTAGATACTTTTTTTTTCTGCAATACAAATCTAGTAATTATATATAATAGTATTGGACAATCCAAGTAAGAAGGTAGATGCATTAAGGTGTGCAAATGATATTATTGAAACAAAAGGAATGAAGACATATGAGAAAATCATTACAAACATGTACAGAAAAGTAAAGATAGTTTGTATTTGTACCAAATCGTGAGCCATACGTTGATAACCTTTTCGACCCATAGTATGGAGAAGTTTCTGATTAGTTCTTATTTTGCTCATTCGGGCACTTTTTTCCTATTCAGTAAACAAAAAAATTACATGACTATAATCAAATAAATTTTAGCTCAATATGAGAATGCAACTTACTTGAAAGTCATTAGAAAGAGTATCTTCTACAAATTTTTTTCTATGCTTCTTCAGAGTTTACATTTTTCGGTCTAAGAAGGGAAATAATACGAGTTCTATTAACAGATGATGCTGCTTGAATTCTGATTTGTTTTCTCAATCTTGATTTGAATGTCCTCCAATACTTTCTCATACATTGAAATGTAATTTTTTGATGGAAATCACTCACATTGAACATTTGCTGTATTTTGTGCACAAATATAAGAAATAGTGTCAGTAGGAATGAAATAGTTATAATAAATAATATTAAAAATTAAAGTTATCATATTTGCATATGTACCTGTATGAAAGTCCAAAGTTAAATTTTTTTCTTGTCATCCACCGAATGTCAATCCTGAATTACAATAGGCACTTGTTTTCGTACCATGACTCCAATTATGTTAGCAAATTTATCAGAGTTGATGCCAACTACTTGTCCGAATTCATTAAATTCAAACTCCATCTTATGATAATTATTTTCAGGAACCATTTCACTTGGGTAGGACCTCTTCTCTTTTTTGGAGCATCTATATTTGTCGACGACGTGTTTTGCTCATTCGTAAT